CCGACGAGTTATAAAACATCGCGACGGTAGCGTATTTACTATTTCGGGCCTACGAAGACTCGCTCGGCCAGGACTAATCTGTCATCAGTGTCCCTAGGTCCTGTCAACTTAATCCGATTAGTGAGTCAGACGAGTGGTCAAAGGGGCCGCTAGTTATTGCCTGCCCCTGTCTCTTTTGGTGTTCGGCCAGGGCAAAGTGATTTTAATCCGGTTAATGAATAACGTTCCTGGCGAGACAGCAGTGGCTGGTACAACAAGGACAGCGGTAATAAATTCAGCAACAACCGCTTGAGTAACGATCATTTGGATGAATTTCGTAAAATCAAGTGCTTTTTAGTGTCTATGACGACATTTCAGTGTATATTTCAGATAAGTAAAACTTTACAATTTATTATCGACTATCTTATGTTGGATAAATTAAGCAATTTTTGGATCTTATAGGTCATAATTTCAGTTCTAGCGCCCTTGGTTAAAGTGATACATAATTATTAATTTTTGCTCCTGTCGTAACTGTCAAGTAGCTGCAAGTTATTTTTTTTTAAATAAAATAACTTATTTGAACAGCTTACRATTACTCGTTGAGGCGAGCTAACTGGGTTAAATGCCCATAACACATCTGCTAGAAAAAGAAATGGATTTTGGTGACCAGTCAACGAATATTTATATCGTTTTCAGGGGCGGATCCAGGATCAGCGAAGGCGCGATTTTTATAGGGGGGTCCGGAGGCATGCAAAGCTGACTCACAGTATAGTCGAGCTCTGATCATCGATTTTTTGTATTTTTTATTTTAATCTTATCCTTTTCATTTACTATTAATTTTCCTAACCCTGAGGGTTTTTTTATGGGGTGAATTTTTTTTTTTAGAGAGAGAGAGCTAAAATTTAGAAGTAGGTATTATAATAACCTAAAAGTTATTCACATAATTAAGAGATACATTACCAAGACTAATTACGTGTATCCTTTTTTTACCGAATAATTTACTATTTCCTAAGTTTGCATTATCATTTCATTTGAGTAAAGGGGGGTGACTAGTCACCTCTATCCACCCCTGGTTTTATCGATTCAAGAAAAAAACTAGAAAATCCCGGGGAGAACTCCGGAGTAAAAGTACCGCACGTGGGTGTTCGTCGGATCTTTTAGGGGTAAAAAATCGTGAATGTAAATCTTTTAGGGTGCCAATTTGGAGTTCTTTAAATTTGCATTTTCTGCAATCTCTTAGGGTGTCGGAAAAGAAGACAAAGAGCGCATCGATTTAACAAATCGAAATCGCTTTTCTATGGTCTGTACGCTTATCGACAATGAGAATGACGTCAGAAAATGATCAAAACTCAAGTGCCAAGTTGCGATCATTTTCTGGCGTCATTTTCATTGTCGATAAGCGTACAGACCATAAAAAAGCGATTTCGATTTGTTTTTTACCATAACAAAGCCGAAAACACAAGTAAAACTTTCAAAACAAAATCGTTTCTGGCGCACGCCAGCTCCGTGCGCGAGCGATTCGTCATCTCATCGGTCTGTCGATCCTACGATCGACAACGGCTCTCGACCAATCAGCGCGCGAGAATTCTACAAGTTATGGTATTGATTTTCCTCGCGTTTTGTTTTGACATTAAATATTTTATACATTTTATGAATAGTTTATACATTTTATCATTAGAACTGATGTAACAATATTTGTTGTGCAATCTCTAAGGGGTTCAAAACCAGTCATCCAAGCCCTTTTTTCAAGACTTTCAGATCTTTTAGGGGTATTCCATCATATACTCCATCCAAATGGCCAGACATTACGTCCCTAATGTGCTCTATTTTCAACCGTTTCAATGAAATCATGCACTGTGGAAGATCCTGCTTCCCATTGAAATTTTCTCGGCAACTTGCAATATGTTTTGGCTAACAGAAAGTTAGGTGATACGCTGTGCAATTGCATTGCTAGTTGCTGGAATGTACTGCAAAAAGAAAACCTGATTTCTACACTACGTGCAATGCTACTCGCAACGAAAAAAGATGGGGGCGACTGATATTAAACTATGCAATTCGTTTCCAGCTGGCAGCAACTTCTGTCGAAACGGTGATACAATAAAATTAAACAATGTAGCAGGATCTTAAATTTAGAGGGATAATCATTCCACATTTCATTTTTTCCTTGAGTCTGTTCTAGTAGATAAACGATGCAAACTCATGAAGCGAGAAAAAAAGGTACCCTAAGATTTTGTCACACGTTCCATGACTTCTGTTGGACAGCACGCTACACATTTTACACAAGCTATAGCTAAACCCAGAACGCTCCGCGGTAGTGTCGATAGAAACCTAATGTTCAGTCTCCTTCGCAGCCTACCTTTTTTTCGGTCTTCCTGTCCCTCCCAAACGTACTAGGGACAGGAAGCCCGAAAAAAAGAGAGGCTGCGAAGGAGACTAGCCTTACATCAGTGTTCAGAAATAAATAAATCAAAGAAATAAACACAAACTAGACGCTCTGGCAGCGTGAAGTCGGACTAGCTGCTTGTGAAAATTGAGAAAGACAGGATATTACATGGATAAAAATATTTCTTAACTTTTTTTTCCAAAACAGCCGAACTCACGGTCTAATAAGAGCGTCTAGTTCAAAATATGCAAAATATATTGAGACTTTAAATAAACTTGACCTAAAAGGTCATGTAATTAAATCGGCGATAAGAACGTGGCTTGCTTTGACTGATAAAATCAACTACTCAGACAAGTGTCTCGCTAAGTGATATATGATATCTAAAACGTTGACCTCTCAGGCAAAGAAAATAAAAACTTTACAAGGAAAAAGATGCCTATAAAATCATTAAATTCGCCTTTCTGTTATTGATAAACAAAGTTTCTTCTTGTTCTAATTTGAAATCTTTACCCCCACAAGACTGTCTAACACTAGAAAGGATATTGATTCAGTTTTCTAAGCATACAACTCGAAACTCTATGCGATCTGCACATGCGCGTACTTCTAATGCCTAGACAGACGCATTCCGATGAGATCACAGATACCACATTTGTAAACGAATAGTTTTTTTGTCATATAAAAGCCAAGTAGCATATGACATTTACTAACGATATTCGTACATCAAATACGCTTGAGCTTCCAGTCATGTAATAACACAGCCAACCCAATAGTTAATTATTAAATTCTTAACTTCCGGTGGTCCAAACGCGACATGACACATAGATAGATAGATAGATTGGCTAAAAGGTAAATTTAAAGTCGGACCCGCCTTCGGCTAGTCCGACTAATAAA